ATTTCTGAGGAAGGGTCACCGGACCCGAAATGTTAACTCTGTTTTCTCCTTCATAGATGCTGCCAGACCTGCTGAGCTTTTCCAGCAACTTTGTTTTTGTGACCTATTTCCCCAGCCCAGGATTGTTCTTGTTTTAATTTCCTCCCATCCAGAATTAATTTTTACTGCTCCCCCCAACCACCTCCCCCGGCAGCGTGAGTTATTAATATTCCCACAGCCCGTGCAGAATGCGTTTTCTCCCTCCATCCCCCAACCCCAAACAGAAGAATCTCTTTTTTACTCCCCTCTACCCCGCAGAACAAGCTTATTTCTCCATGCAGAATAAACTGTTTTTTGTATTGCCTTCTAAGTTGTTGTTGTTGTTATTGTCGTTTTGCTATCGCGCTGAAGTGCTAATAGAATATTTCTGTTTCCGATGTTTGGAAAATATGTTGCAAATTCTTGATACTCATTACAGACAGTGATGATGCTCCTTAATAGCGCACGCACTTTAAACCTCAGCCTTTTCGGAGAAACTGCCAATTCTAGTGTTTATCATATTTATGTAGCTCCCTTGTATTCGGTGGTTTATATTGAGAGAGATTTTATATATATATATATGAAAAAGTTATATTGTTTTGAGATCTTTGTGACCGGCGTTTTGTCTCGTAGACGATTTTAATGTCTTGGCTGCTGGAAACAATTATTATTTATTGGTCAGTTGAGTGTACATCTTTCTTCTTGCCTTGTTCAGTTAATGTTTTGTATATTGTACATAAATATAAACTTTTAAATTCCAAGCGGACAAATGGGAAAATGTAACTTTTTTCTAAAAAAAAGTCCCTTAAAATTAGCAATTTTGTTTTGTGTTTTATGCCACCGATGATGTATTGTTGCTTTTTATTTGAGTTTTTAACCTACAATAAATGTAACTGGAAACACATGCTGTGGAAATGTTTGTTACTCAAGAAGACACGAATGTTCTTAGAACATTCGTTCATATTTTTCCACCAAACTGTTTAAAACAAAAAAAGATTCTTGAACGAAAGATTTTTTTTCCCGCAGTGTAAAACGTTAAGTTACACATTTGAAATAAATAAGGGATTTCCTCACAGTTTACATTGTTGGATTTGGGGATTTAAAACGGGCACTAGATTCCTTTTTCGGTATCTAGTAACTTGTTACGTACAGTTTGCAATTGCTGCGTGTAACATGTTTTCTTAAAAAAAACAAAATCTGTATTGTTTTACTTAGTTCCGTATAGTTTTTTTTGTAGCTGGAGGATTCTCAAAGCGAGTCCCACGTTGTTTTAAATAGTGGCTAGGTAAACGCCGAGTTATCTTACTGGGTGGGACAAAGACAAGTGCAGCGAACAAAAGGTCGCCTTTGCTTTGATCTGTGGTTCACGAAGGGAGTCTCACTTGAGTGGAGAAAGTTATCCCTTCTGTTTAGTGGTGTATAGACTTTTGGGTGGGTATTATGTAGATCTGCCCAGACAAAAGCGTTTACAAGTGCATTTTTACAGCGCACAAGCAGCCTCTAGTGTTACACTCTCAATGGAGGTCAACCCATGTACTTAGACACAAGCTCAATTAAGCTGGGAAGTTCCGCTATCAGGGGCAACATCTTAGATCGACCTGCTTAAAAGTGTAAGACTTACATAGTGTTGCGCTGTGCTATGAAGTTAAAAAGGGTTCAGTGAGTGGGGTATTTGCTGAATGTCATGCTGTTTTGCCAATATAATTTCCTTAATAGTGAAATAATGAGGGAAGCGCATTCATTATCGAATGCAAAATCAAATATAGTATGGAACAGCAGCTAGAGAAAGGGGCAAACTTTATTTCTGTGTTTTAAATGGTACATGATTGATCTGAGGTGTGCCTCTGTGATAGGGTCACATCTGATTGTTTTCCTAATTGTTAGAGACTGTTTAAGTGGCACAACGTGCAAACTGATTGCAAAAACAATCCTTCAAAAATCCAAGACTTAATATTGAATCACTAATTTAATGTGATATTTAATATTGGATTACGAATTTAAAATACAACGAATCCCGTAATAGAAAATGCATTTGTTTAAATGTCATTGAAAACTCGTTAATATTTAACAGTTAACATCGAGCTTTCGGTATTGTTTCGTTCATTTTCTAAAAGGTAACGAATATGTTCTGATCAAGTTTTATTTTAAAGCCGCCAGCAAAAAGGCAACTTCAATTCCCAAAGTCAGGAATTCAAAAGTCAGAAGTAAAAAAAATACTGCGATTGGTAGAAATCTGAAATAAAAACTAACGGAAAGTCCTGGAGAAACTCAGCAGGTCTGATAATCTGAAGAAATTAACAGGTACTCTGAAAGGGTTAACTCCGTTTCTTTCTTCACAGATGTTGAGTTTCTCCGGGTTCAAAACATCAAGGAGTGGAGTAATTAAATCATTCTCTCTTTAGATAGTAGATACCTGAGATTCAATGTTGAAAATGCACTTTGTGTAACATATTCTGCATGTGGGAACGCCGCTAAAATCCAGAGAACGCTAAGCCACTTCGTTAGTTTGTTTTTAGAGAGGGAGAGTGCGGATTTCGCTTTGTCTGTAGAGGATGTTGTTTCTCTGTCTCCTCTGTTTGCGAACAGCATCGGATTCCCTGCAATTGTACCAAAGCTATGTTACAACGACAGGTACACAACCGGGCCGTATGGAGTCTTAAGTAAGATTTTTTTAAAAATATATAGGTAAGTGGCATGGCAATGGGCGACTAGTTGAGAATTCCCGCAGTTAATTCAGGTTTGGCGGAGTCACCAAGTGTTCTATTTAGGGCAAGTCTTGGAGGAACATGAATTCGTCAGGACTGGGCTGAAGCTCCGGAGCTTTGAAGTGTAGCCACTTCCACCATCCAGTAATATCACACCGGGTTAATTCAGGAAGGGTACAGCAAAAATCCCGTCCATTTACTCAGTGCAGTGCAGGTGGAAAATTCAACTGAGTACAAACAGGACTGCCTTTCGGTACAAACCCAAGTCCATGAGTTAGTGATGTCTGTTACTGACCGTCTCTTGAAGTTTATAGCGTTTATACAACACAGAAAAAGAACATTCGGTCCATCGCGTCCGCATTGGTCATCGAATATCCATTGATTCTAATCCCATTTCCCAGCAGTTAGCCTGTAAGTCCGTATGCTATAGCGCTTTATCTAAAAGGTTTTTAAGTGCCTTAAGGGTTCCCGCTTTGATAGGCCCCAGACACCCACCACACTCTGGCCGAAAAAAACCCTTAAATCCCCTGTAAATCTCTGCGTTTCGATGAAAGGTGTTGGCCTAATGGTTTCTGTCTGTTACGAATTCAGTGTATCCAGCTCTGCCGAACTTCTGACAGAGGCTCAATCCTCTGTTTTGGAATCTTATGTGTCAAAAAAAAACCCGTGTGCTGTGAGAGCAGCGTGGTGCTAAGTGTGAATGGGATGTGTGATATGAACTGTGAGATTTGAGTCTTACTAAATTACAAAACTGTTACAGGGCAAAAGGAGGCCATTTGAACAATCCTTTCTGCACCTGCTCTCCGAATAAGCAAACCACCTATTGCCATTCTCCTGCCTTCTCCCTATAGTTGTTCCTTTTCAAATGACCGTCAAATTTTCTTTTGAGTGCCTCCTTTGAACTTGCCTCCATTGCACATTCGGGTCATTCCAGATTCTAACAACTCACTGTGTGTGATTTTTGTTTTCTCATATCACCTACGTTTCTTTTCCAATTTACTTTAAATCTGTACCCTTTTCTCAATCACTTCACAAAGTGGAACAATGTCTCCTATGTTAACACTGTTCAGACTTCACCTGATTTTAAAGACTTCGATTGGATTTTCTATCAGCCTTCAAATCCAAGGAATTAGATTCAGATTATCTGCAAGGATACACTCGGAATTAAGTGTGATAATAGTAAATAATTCCACCATTCCTGCAACATCAGCTCTGCAATCAGTCCTCCAAGTACTCTGTGTTTCTCCAACTCTAACCCCCTGAGCATTCCTTACTTGCTTTGCCGAATGGTCAGTGGTCATGCTTTCCGGAACCTGGACACTAAACTCTGGAACTCTCTCTCCAGGTGTCCACACCTCTCCAATGCCATCTCCTCCTTTAAGCTGCTCCTGAAAACATACCACCTCAATAAAGCTTTTAGCTACCTGTCTCAATGTCCCCTTTGGTTCAGTATTATTTCTTAACTGATCATACATCTATAAAAGGGCTTCTGGAATTTGACTGTGTTGAAAGGATCGGATAAATGTAAGTTATTGTCATTTTTTGCACGTAATACTTGAATTTTGATATTAAAAAAGTATGCATTTTGTCAAAGATTTTTATCTTGCCCTTATCAGGACAACGTGCAACAAACATCAGTTTAAACGGGAACAACATTTTATACTGTATAACAACTGGATAAGTCCACTTACCAACAAATCAGCACTTCTCATACAGTATAATTTTTTTTCCTTTACTCTGATATTTTTTGTGAACTACCTCAATAAGGTCAAGACAAAATCTGAAATGAGAACAAAAATTTTGACAATGCTCAGCATGTCAGATAGCATCTTTAAAGGCAAAAACAGGGTTAATGCTTCAAGCTCCATCATCTTTGATTTGTTGTAATGATATTGCCAAATCTGGTGAGTGCTCCAGCAGTTTCTGCTTTTACATCTACACTAAAATTGCTTGTGTAAAGATCCCAGCTCATATTTCTACCAAAAAGGCAGATCCCAGAATAAAATTTGGCCTGATAGATCATTTATTTCCATTTATGTGCTGATTTTCATACACAAAATCACACACTGCTGCAGATTTTGTTTCATCATAGAATCCCTACAGTGTG